GAGTTAACTTTGAGGCAGGTCTCCAAACCATATTTGTACCTTCAATGGGTGCTACCTAGGTGCTCAGAACCATGTATGCTGGATTCCGTGAAACTGGCTTTCTAATGAGTATTACGACGTATGAAGAGATCGAGAAGACGACGAAGAATAGGAAATTCCTATCCAACCTCCATTCAGAGCCATGTTGCTGTGCTTGCCTATTTCCATGATTTTGTCGAATAAAAGCGTTCCTAAGCCAGTGCTCCGCCATTCCGGACGTACATAGTACATACCAACCTGGAACAGCGAAAAATCCTTCAAAGTGAAGGACGCGGAATCTTAAAAATTAACGTTTTTCGGTGAATGGGCCAGATTTCTTCGGTGCAGTGTTGAATTTGTAGTTAAAATACATCTCAGGAGTTTTTGCAGCTCTAGGACTTCTCCCATTGCAAGGGTCAATCCCCACCGCTAGACCTAGGAGATTCTCGATGAGAATAATCTAATCTTTCCTAATTCTGAAAGTTACTCTAAACTATGGCTACCGTGCATAAAAGCTCTTCAACCTTGATACCTTGTTGACTAAGGTAAGGTCCCAGCTTTCAAGATGCACCAGTAAAACTCAATTGAGAGCGGGGGAGGGCTTGTAGAAGAGGAAAACTTCCCGAAAAGTTAAATGAATTGATGTGAAACCCACATAGTAAATATCGTCTTCTTTATCCCCATTCGAAGAGCGATCGAAACTCAGCGATATACTTGCAACGGCTTCTTTTGACTCTGAATAGAATTCAGTTCGATGAAATCGTCCTCCATTAAGAAGGAATATCAAAGAGAAAAATTCAGAACAGGTGGACTAAAACGATTGAGATGAGGGAATGCCTTTTACCTTTGTCGATTGCGACGTAGAACCAGAATTTCTCAAAGGATTCTAACCAAATCTTGTAATCTTCAACAGTGAACATCCATTCTTCTGTTTTAGAGCACTGAAAATAGTAAAAGACCTAAATCCTTGCTTCCATTTTGAGTATTCGTGTCTGAAGGTGCTGAGAATCAATCAAAAGGAGGTGCGCTCATTCACTTTCCCAGCTTAGCACTACGATGCCAATGGCACTTTTTTATGAATTAAATCTAACCAAATTGGCTAAAAATAGATCTGATTCTGTCACCATCCCTTCAAGCTCGGGGATCAAGCTTCTTTCCTTCTCCTCACCCCTGCTCCGTCCCTCTCCAACCCACCGGACTTAATTGTATCACCTTTTTTGCTTTTTTTTCTGTGCCTCAGGTTAAATCAGATTAGAGGAGAGCAGACGCGAAGAGATACCCTGGCTCGGGAGGCACTCTCACCTCTGGCCTCGTCTTCCCGAGGGAGCTGACAAATCACTACAGGGCTACTCCTTCCATATGATGGCAAATGAGGGCCTACAGAGCCACTCATCAACCATGGATTTCTATTTATTTACATATGAAGCCGATGAGTTGCTCAAAGAACTCTAAGGATCATCTATATGTAATTGTAGAAACTCGGCCAACATCGAAAACCCTCGAGAGAAACGTATAAAAAGCTCTCGCCCCGCCCCCCATCCATCCGTTCCCAGCCTACTTCTAGGTCTTTTTGACAGTTCTCTTGCAACGTGAAGTACCGCTTTTACTCTGTGCATATCATGAACATGTAGGTATTACTGAAAAGCAGAACGTACGCAAACAATGCTTTACTGACTGCTCTGCAATGTACCTTCATGAAATAGCGGCACCATTGACAAAACCTACCCACTGGACTATTTCCATCCAATGTTTTTGATCCGGATTGAGTACGATTTCAATATCTTCCAATGATTTTTCAGTCATCTTAACCATCTCTGAAACCCCATGTGCAATGTGCATGTGACAGTAGACATACAGGAAAATGGATAATGTAGGGTTCAACGTTCTTAGAAAAAGAGTAGAGAAAGAATGACCAATTCACTGGATAGGTAAGCTGGAGAGTATCAAAGACTATGAAAGGTTCAATGATCACAAAATGTTCTGAAAAAGAAACTTCGATTTTCCAGATTCCACATATGAGCATTACATAGCTTAGAGATAAGTGCTCCAGCCACTGAAAAAAGGAGTTCCGAGTTAACGTTCATCAGCAACTTGAAAGAGCATAAAGGGTTTTTTTCCAAGTAATTAGGATAAAATAATGGTATGCAGACGTCCTTTATTACTCGAAAAGCTTGGTTTCCTATGGTGCAGGTCCGCTGTCAGAGGCTACTGCCTCTATCCGAACTTCAGTGAGAAAGGAAAAAGTCAGAAAAGACAACGAAGCTGCATAAATTGGACAAATTCACTTACTCAACCGATCTAAAGCCTATGTACGGTTCTGTGGGCTTGTCCGGGCTCTAGGAACACCCTAAAGAGGATGATTTCGTCGAAACATTAGTTGATAAATTTATTGCGAGCCTTGACATAAAGATATCCTAAAGTTTTCTTTTATTCTGAAGTATCATCAGAATCCTACCACTACTAGTAATATCTACCTATTAGACATTATGCATACAGTAGAATTGCTATTGTCGCATAAATAATGGGAAAAGACAGGAGCGGCAGAGATGTCCTTGGCATGGAACTGAAACAACTAATCTGATTTGCGAAACACCCGAGAACCATGGAACCTGTTCACTAGACCTCATAGCATCCAGTCAGGCATGGTTCTAAGTGATCTATGGTCAATTAATTGTTATAACTCTGAATATTCAGATTTTAGTAGAAATCACGTGAATAAAACCATAAAAGTGTTCTCATCAATTTATCAATATGAAAAGAGCCATTGTGAATAAAGTTCTATCAAAATGTTCATAATATTCTTGAAAAACTTTAAACCTGTAACAAAAGCTGTAAACTTATGGGTGCTAGGTCCCTTGCAGACCTGGGAGTAAAGAATGAAGCCCCAAGTTACGTTTGGCACATGAGACTTGGCGTATCGTGGGATCACTTTGGGCCAAATTGGCCATAGGGCAAAAAACAGGTCAGTGTTAAGCAGCAATTACTGTAGATAAATTTATTAGGCTCACTAAAATAAATAATTCTTGAAAACAATTTGAGGGTTCATTCAGATTCAGAGAAATACTTAACCGACCATAGCGACCGAAATTTGTATTCCTTGCCGTGATGGAATGTGCAGCAGGAACAGATAAAATGTGGTCTGGGAAATCTTTGATCACTTGTCTACGATTTAAGATTTTTTCTGCAAATTTCAATTTTTTTATTTGTAAAATTCGAAAAATGAAACCGATAGTTAGCAATTCGTTGAAAAAGATGTAGAATAAATGGTAAACCCTATAAGCATGTCTGGAATTAGGGCAAGGGTGGTATAGTGGACAAGTGGCCAACTATCGCATACGCATGGTTCTCGGTTCGAATCCCGATTCAACGCCCGCCCAAATTAACCAAGTTTCCAATCCCTCCAGAGTTGGTTTGCTGGTATCGGATTCGTTTAGAAGGACGAAAGCGCTGACTTGTACATGAACTGACCACAGTTCTTCAGTATGCGTGCTTCATACCCATTCAAACGTCACTACGATTCTGAATGGAAGTCGACTTTGGGGCGCATGCCAAAAACGGGATTAATTAGCTCTGAAAAACTTTATCATTTCGTTCTTATTCTTGACGGGAGTTGGGGTCACTGTAATTGGAACATTTGAGCAAATCGTATAAATTGAAAACCTTCATGTTCTATGGTCAATCGTACGGTTCGGCGAACAAAGGGTATTTTCCATCCGAACAAATATCATAGGGGAAAAATTTGAGTAAAAATCAACAATGATTTTTAACTATTTTTTGAAGCCTACTATATCGTCTAATGGAACTTAGTAGGAGACTTATTGGAACAAGGGGACCGTAATCGCCGGTGGGTTTGAGAACTGTTAAGAGAACTATACTCTGGGGGTAAAATTGGAACGAGTCATCTGTCTAAAGAGTAACAGTATTCCGGTAACTGCAAATTTCCTATCAGCAGAAGGAAGGAATACACAAAAAATGGTAATCGAGATGATTTCTGATACTTCTGCTGCACCATTTTGGCCATTTGCAGTGATTCCAAAATAATAGAGAACTAAGCCGTTGATAAGAGTGTTTCGGTATGCAAACTGAGGCAGAGTGCAGTCGGTCGCTGGAAAAACTAACAACCACTGCCATCGATCTGCTCTTTGGCCGAAGTTTGCTAAGAAATATACAGTCTCTACTGAGCCTCATCCACATTCATCCTTCCCATTCTATTCTAGGCTTTCTACAATGACATATCTGCTCTGAGCAACTTGCCTTAGTTAAATGAGCTAAAGGAAGGTTCTCAATGAAAAGGATCAGAAGAAGTGACCCGACATCGGACCAATGAAATGATTTTTAGTTTTGAAAGTTCAGAGAGCGCATTATTCACAGCGAGTGCTTCTTATTCATCAGACAACAGTTTTTCTCCAACAATATCATGCTAGAAAAGTTTGACGAGTTTTATGCTTCATTCAATTCTTTTCAACTATTCGGTTTTCTAACGCGGTGGTTTCTGGGAATTTCCCGTATCATTCAGTTGCGCCACGTACTTTTCTCTATTCAAAACCTTTGAAGTGTTGTAATGTATTCAGGGCTCGCGTATCGTATTTGTAAAGCATATGAGCCAATGTCTTAGGTAGGGAGAAAGAAGAGGGAAATCGGCTTTTCGCTCCTCAATAATGACTCATTTGCATCGGAAAGATGCATGTTTTCGTTGTTCACAGTTCAAGCTGCTTATCTTGAGTACAAAGAGAAGAGATCAATTTTGTGGAACTCTAAAAGAGTTTGAATGTGATAAGACCGGTTCCAAATTTCGTTCTTTATGGCACTTCCTATTGAAGCTTATCGCCTTCTGTGTACTTGACCATAATTCGCTAGGCTAGCATGTCCATGGCTCATTGTCAGAGGCAAAAAGGTAACGTAGTCAAGTCTAAGAAGATAGCGTTGTTGCTTTGTGACAAGGTAAAGTAGCTTAGAAAACGAGAGGTATTGTCCGAAAATCTGAGCAAGTTATCCCCAAAACACCCTGTTTACGTTCAGAATGACGGTAGACTCGTTCTAGGGCAAGGGCTCGGCACGTTCATGTTGTGGAGCGCTCTAAGTTACTTATTGAGGAGTGACCTCAGATAGCCCTAAATAACTACCGATGAAAGGCTTCATTGCCTGGGAGGGTACCCGGGATCCGATCCCTGGACCTGGCATGTGTGATAATGCTACATGTGCCACAGCACCACCTTCATCGACATTCAAGTTAACATATTAAAATTCTGATTAATAAGCACAAGTATGAACATTCTGTGGCATGTCCCATTCCATAAATATTCTGTCAGAATTGTCTCATCATTTATTTTTTTGCTTCGAAAATAAGTAAAAAAAACTATGTAATTCAAAAAACGAATGTAGATAAAAGATATACATTGATTACTGACCGATCAAGCTGCATGCCTTCCACCTCCTAGTAGCCTCCCTGTTACCCATGCCTTCAGAAGGGCAGAGAAGACTCAGGAATCATCTTAAGCTCATTCAAACAATCTATTTATTCTGGAATCAACGCACGTCAACAGTTCCCATCGATCGCCGCACGACCGTCGCGTGCGATAGGCCCCTCGCCGCACCGCGGCACGTGCATGGCGTAACCTGTGAAAAATAGAATTTTTCTCGACGTTTCAGTGTGAGCACGTGAATGCATGTTGATACTTGTCAACAACGAGTGCCAACTGAATAAACGATTCCGGGCCAGCAGGATGCCAACCACAGCCAAGTTCATCCTGTGTGACTGCTTAAGCGATTATCAGTTGTTGGGAACCTCATGACCCCTCCACCCTTTATGTGAGGGCACTTTTTCTTTACCCGGCCAATGGAGCGGAACTCCCTGAATCAAAAGTTTCAGTGAAATTATCTATTCTTTTCAAATACGCTTTGCTGCCTATGTCCTTTGTTTGAGGCTGATTTCATTGACAAGAGAATAGTTTTTTCAAAAGTGGTGTGGTCCTTTGAAAGCAGGTGAGGTACGAAACACATACGTCTAGAACCGCATTTCAACTGCCTTGTTCCACCTTTCACGCTTCAACCGTTCCCGGATTTAATACGATTCTCTTCTTTTTATTTCTTTGTTTGAATGCAGAATGAAGTGGTGCAGTGGCATATAACGCACTATCTCACACGCATGGTTACAGATTCGAATCCCGGATCGATATGGCTACTTTCAGAGTTCGACGACCGTCCGTCCGTCCGTCCGTCCGTCCGTTCAGCGCGTGCTGCGACGGCGGTCGCTAGAGTAGTGTTGACAGCGCTGGCAAGTGATCCAGTATGTCGACAACGGTTAGGCGCCGCCGTCGCAGCACGCGTCGAACGGACGGACGGACGGACGGACGGATGAATCGTTGAGGTCTGAAAGCAGCCTATCAGAGTGGGCCAACGAAGCCTTCCGTCTCACCAGGGCCGGTTAACTGGAACTAGACTCGTCTAGGAGGATGAAAACAGTGACTTGAACATCGGCCGGTCCCCCCGGGTCATTGTATTGACCACATGCACATTCAATACGCCACTACGATTCTGAGTTTGAAGTTAAATGCGAGGCGCATTGTGGAATCGCGACTGCCTCGAACAATAGACTTCATCCTTTGATTGTTCGAACGCGAAGAATCCAAACACGGGCTAGAGTAGTGTCGCTACTCCTCGCGAACGGCTCCCTTTCAAAGATTTTCGCGCTCGATGTCAAACTAAAGGGCGGGATTACGGTAGGGAGCAGCCGTGCAACCGTGCACAATTTCTGGCTTTGACGTCCCTTCCTGCCTGCTAGCTTCAGCTTTCTCCTCAGAAACCTACCTAGGAGATACGCTACTATTCTGCTAGTTCGCTAGAACACTACCTGATGACCGAAGACGATCGACATGACTCAGATGGTGATCGAGAAATGTCTGATTCAGATTCCGAAAGCGAGCTAGATCCTTTGGAATACGAAAAAAGGAGGGATGTAGTACTCCGACAGATTGTTTTATCCGAGAGCCAATTTAACAAGCTGAAAATCTGTTTAAGAGACGCGAAAATTCGGCAGGTGAGGTTCCTCGTTTGTAAATGTTTGGTTTAAAGTCAGGGTCATCCGGCAACTGAATTATTCTTTGCTTGTTATCCCATGTGTCCTCTTTATAGTTGATGAAACGACGGCAGGATGTGATCAATCAAACTGATCCAGAATTTCTAGTAAAGCATCGTGAACTTCTGGAAGAATTTGATGCACGAAATAGGGTAATTGATTTTTTACTTGTAATTATTATTTGATGCCCTTCAAATATGAACTTTAAGCTTACCGAAGCTATTCGTACGCTTGAATTAGACTCATTAGAACGGCGGACAGTTGGCTTGAAGAAAATTGCTGAAACCAATCAAAATGATAATAAAATTATAGCTCAGGTAAGCTACTAGCGGCCTCTCCATTTTCCGATCCTTTTCATTTTGACGATTTCTGTTTTTTTTTTCAATTCAGGAGAAATTGAGGGAGAAAATTTTGGATGAAATCAGGAGCGAGCGAGAACGTCAGCTTCAAGAGAGGATCGTGAAAGCATATTTACTTGGTAAGCTTATACGTAAACACAATGAACTTTATAATAAGGGTTCCTAAAATTCACGTAAACATTGGTGTGGATCTGGAATTTTCTTAGCCACAATGCCTTCCAATTGATTGTTTCTATCAAAGAAGTCATGTCTTGAAATTTCATCAGGGATTAGGCTTATTAAGACGAGTTTCTGCTTTCAGATGACCGCTTCGACGTGAAGATTGGGCCACCAAACGGTACGTGTCATCCACCGCCCTCCAAACGACCTCGATACAGAATGCCTGTAGTATTTCATAAACTGACTGAGGACCAAATAGAGGCGGATATTCGTTCTGTCGATCTAGCCATCCTAATTTCCGAATTAAAAGAGGAAGCAGCAAAGGAAACCGATACGTCGTCCGCCTTACTGCCTCGCTCATAGGTCTATGTTTGCCTTTTCCAAGTCAACTTTCACTACATACCAGTGCTTTGAGTTACTCACAGAAGTGCTAGCGTCGATAGGCGCATATCCCGCCCACCTTACGATCTCATATCGCTACTAACACGTTATGTTTGATCTCTTATTTATTTGTGCTCATAACATAGAGTATTCTTTGATAGTTGAATTGGTTAGTTTTATCGGGTATTACTTAATTTGCTAACTTTGTACCTCTACCTATATGATGTTGTTTTAGTCTCTTCTAATATGCTGCCTCGATCGAAATATATAAAAATTTTTACATTTTCATGCTTGTTTTGTCGACTCTGGATTCGTTTCCTAATAACATTTCTTTTCAATTTGTCACACAAACTGAAAATTTATTGCGCTTCAGTTTTCGATCTCTCCGAATGGCTAATTCGGAGCTACGGGAGCTGCTCGATCGAGCTGCTCGGAAGCTCGATCTGCCATTCGATAACCAGGAGCCAATCGACATTACGAAGAGGTTTTTTGAGGACTGCTCTCGTAAGTGCAATGTATAAGTTCTCGCTTGAGTTTTCTCTCAAATGGGATTCTAGGCGTACTTTCCCAGAGTTTCCGTTTTCAGATTTAGCATTGGGTGAGGTTGTTCGGTACGACTCATTCACTCTTGGAGAAGCAATGAGCGCGGTAGAATTGATGGATGAGAAAATGGATATTGGCATGAAGAAAGTGACAAGGAAAATGGGTCTTGAGGAATCGATAGCAAAGGTACGACATTATCCTCGTAATGGCTTTTGTGGTGAATTTTTTCTCTATTATAGACTTCCATCCTTTCTGATTAAAAAGTGCATGGGTCATTCAAAGTTGCTGGCTTATAAACTCTTTAGAAATTGAAGAGTTTCGGTAGAGAAAAGGGAGAGGGAAAGTCGCAGTCGCTCGTGTACTCGAAAACTTGATATCAAAGCGTTGCATTCGAATATCTGCTTGAAGTAACTTTTCGAAGTGTTGGCCCGATCATATGAATTGAACTCGTAATCGAAGGTGTATGGATTTTGATTGAGCGCTTTGTGCATAATCTGTGTGCCATAAGTCTTTAGTATTTCTCTAGGAAGAATCGTTTTGTGGGCTTGGTATGCCTTCAACAAGAACCAGTATGTATGGGTATGGTATGGTGGCATGTTTTATTGTGGGCTTAGATGAGCAACATGAATCGATATTCATCCGCGGCCATGCTCTTGTGGGTAGCGAGTGTCCAAAAAAAACCAACCCTCAATGAGGACCTGATGAGTTGGTCTTAATTGCTCTCTCCTTAAATTCCGATACAACGAGTATAAAGTTTTGCTCTTCTATTTTAATTACTGTGGCTTAGGGTGATATATATTATTTGATTCTCCGGAAAGTGTCATTATTAAAAAGTGTTCAAACTCAATGGTGCTTTTTACTGCACTTTATGCGGTTTTCAAACTTTTCCAACCGGAGATATCTCTCATTCAGGGACTATATGAATCTTCTTTGGGTGAACAACTGATTATTTACGATGCGACATTATGCACGTTTGTTACCTGGCTTGAAGGCAGTTGCATAGGGCAGACGGTAAGAACACGATAAATTCCATTGAGTTACTGAGTTAGGAAGCTTGATTTTTCAGTTATGGACAAATGTTCTGCTTACGGACCCGGAACGTGTTCGTTTCGAAGACCATCCCGTATTTGCTTGTCTTTCTCATGGATTCTATCATATTGTGATGCAAGTTAAAAGTATTATACAGAATGCCAGCGTTTATGAAGAGGTGGGTTTCCTTTTGGTACTTTCGATGTAAATTCGATATTTTATTTTTCAGGAAGACTTCAATCCGCATTTACCTTTTCCTTGTACTTCTCATTATCCGATGCATGAGGTTATACAGTTGATGAAAGATATTGAACTTGACCTTGTTCGACGTTCTGAAGAAACGGTATCTTCATTTCATCACTTTACGCTTCTACTATATCACCTCTTTGATTAGACACGACTGAGTCTTTGATAGATTAGTTTTTTCAGAGTAAAGCTTTCTTGGCTTTCCCTTTACCGTGCTATACTTCACGGGGATTTTTGTTAAAACGTTATGATTCTTTTTTCTAATTTACAGGATAAAGATGAAGAGAAGACAAAGCTTCTTACTCTGTCTTCTCGTATAGCATTTATGCGGATATTTCTGGTCACACTCACTTTTTTGGTACCTCCCAGAAAACCAGAGGAGTGGCGTACAGATTCTTCACAAATGCCTCCTCTAGATGCACTAGGTTTCACGTGGGTGGTTTCTCTTTCTTGTTGAAAAGAAAGGATTCTTGATATTTACGACTTTGCAAAGATACGTTTTCAGAGCTGATTTGGATGCCGCGACAAGTGCAGCCTCTAAACTCGTTTTGTTGTCGTCAAAGTTTTTAGATACTTCTGTACATGAATGTGCACCACGACCGAATGGCATTGAGCGCGATGGTAAGCATACACTTTTTCCTTGGTTTTCCTATTTCGCGTTGGTGTCGGTCCTCCCTCATAATTTTTGGCTTTCGCTTCTGCTTATTGATGTTTCATCTTCACAATGTTCTATTTTTCGGCGATTACCAGCTTTTTTTGTTTGCGAATTATGTTATTTGTTTTTAAATATATTTCATTCATCAATGGAGATTTAATTCTAGTTGTTCACTTGGAGGGCTGTACGAATCATTCTTATTTTCATTTTCTAAGAACTTTTAGTACGCTGCATTTTTTGCCTACTATTCTTTAAGCCTACAAAAGGGGGTTTAAAGATCAGCACGCATTACTCTACTGGGTGAAAGGGAACATTAAAATGTGTGCCTTAACAAAGTTATTATTTAGCGCTTTCTTTTTCACTATTCACTTGTTTCATCTATCGTCACCTCTTTTTCACCTTTTTGCTTTCCCATAACTTTTTCTGTTCCTATGTCTCTAAAGAACTAACCACTTATATCAAGCACTCGTTTTTTCGAACTGATTCCTTCTGTTGATGCAATGGTTCAGTTTGCCTCTTTTTCTTAAATACGTTGCCAATTATGGTTATCTAAATTCATTTTGTTTTAAGGAGACTTTTCATGGTTGATCGCATTTGAACCGGAGTTAAACAGACAGTACTTACCGTCCACGTTCCCTCGAAAAATTGAGATACTTCCTCGAGAAAAAGCATTACCGCATCTCCATCGTATTTCATGCAAGTGAGTTTATGAACACTTATGATCGGATTTTTTGTAAGTTTTGCTTGTTTGATTCCCTGAAAATAGTTTTCTCCTTCTGCTATAATCTTTGTCCCCGATATCTCATCCATATTTAGGATACATTTTATGGCATCGCAATTGAGGAATAACTTAGCGGATTCAAATAGTCTTGTTGAATTTATGAAATGGTTCAGTTATGATGATAGTTGTGTTTTAACTCGATCAATACTACAGGTTCTTTTCTATCTTCTTGATCTGACATTTTTATCTAGACTTAATTGACTGTTTTTGCATTTAGATGGTCGTATATCCACTCGATGACAATGTATTGGGCACTCAGCCTACTGCGCTTTTCGTGGAAAGGTCACTAAAAAACACAGTGCTTCCACTCGCATTAATGCCACAGTATGAATTTTGAAGATCCTGTTTACATTGTAATCTTCATTTGTTCGAACGTTTACAGCACGCCTTTGTATGACAACGAAGATTGCCGTAAAGTCGTTGAAGACTTCACAATGAATGCCACCAGGGTTATGCTTAGTCTGTATCAAAACTTTGGTGAGTTGTTTTGGAGAAAAGGGGCTTCTTAAGTGAATTATCTGTCCTGTTGTATTGTTTTTATAAGCTCTTCTGATATTTTCGTTTGCTGTTTCCTATCTACTGTTTATTTATTACGTGGAGCGTAGGAACTGGAATACTAAGATATTTTTCCATAAGAATCGTATCGCCGTTACTCTCATTTTCCGCCCAATCACTTGGACCGGGTCGTATCGAGTTTTTTTTTCGTGAACACCAAGCTGTGTATTCGACCTCAAAATGGCCCAGCTCTGCCCGCAGTACTGCTCCATGCAAGATTCTAGACTGAAGCTTATTCAATAGGTCTAGATTTCACGTCAACCACTCATCGATGTAAAACTTGCTCTGCGTCAGTTTTAGATTTGACGATTCTTGTCTTCGCGTAGTGATTGCTCATCGCGCTCAGCGCTTCAGCTGATGATAGTGTCCCCATCTATTCCATCAATCCATCAATGTTAAGGATTCAACCTTGCTCGTCAAAGAGATAAGTTGGTAATCATACTGGAAGAATTTAATGAGTTGCACGAAGATGCTTGCCGGGCAGATGCTGTATGCAGGGATATTGTTCCTGTTCACAACAAGTGTGAGTGATTCAAGACTAGTTTATCTCGCAGTCCATTTTCTGGTGTTGTTTACTGTATTTCTTTTTCAGATAATCCATTTGTTACTTTTGTTTTTACACAAACTCTGTCATTAGTTGTTTACCACATGGAACTGAGTTTTCGGCTTGAACTATTTGCACCTTTCGAATTTACCTACATATACTGGTCAGTTTTTAGCTTCACTTCCCATTTGTGATCTATCTCTTTGCCAGTTTTTCTCACATTTCATTTCCAGGTTTTATGGAGAAGTTGTTGGGCGGTGGTATATGACATCTATCGAGAAAACTCGTGAGCTAATGAGAGACACGCTGAGGAAAGGTAAATCTTTGGTTCGAATACTCGCTTTCTCTAAGCAGTGATTGTACTTTTTTCTTTCTTAAAGAAAGCGAACTACATGAACAAGGACGGAAAAATAAAAAGAAGGTCAAGCCTCGCTTCAATTATGAAGAGCATTTTCGTAATCGGTAATTTTCAAGCTTAAGCGTTCTATTTTCCTTTTTGTGTCCATTCTCGAATGCTTTCCGATAGGGAGCACACCTTTTCGATTCCTCGTGTTTTCTTCATAAGCACTATTCAAATGAAAAGTGATTCATCAAGTTCTTTCAGTTCTGCTGTTTGGCAGGATCAACTAATTTTGAGATACGGTCATTCAGCGATGGCGGACGCTACATTTCACATAGCTGTAGCACTGATTCAAATGGGACAAATTCGGGTTCGTGTATATATATTTTTTTCCTTTTCCTTTTTTTTATTTTTTTCTTCTCTCCAATTTTCTTATTTTGATAACGAGCTTTAATATTTTATAGGTCCCCGTATGGAATGAGGAGTCCGAGCGTCTTCGCTTTGAACATCGTATGGCTTTTCTAATAAGCATAGGCGACCCTCTTCATGTTACCTATGAGGAATTTCTCTCTCGGAGCAGGTAGATTTTCTTGCTAAGCCTTTTATTTCTTTCGTATCTAAAATTCTTAAAGAGTGCGAGAGCTTCTTGACGGAGATATCAGTGTTCCACTCCAACGTGCCATTGACACCTTCGAATTAGCGCGAAGTCAATTCGAGAAGTTGGTTGATCGGAATGAGTTTACGATTCATATCAAGTAAGTCTGGTCTTCACTTTTTTATGAGTGCTCTCATTTCCAAGTTTTTTCTTCTGTTTTTTGAGAATTTGTATCTTTCTTCCCATGTTACTCCATATCATTGAAAGTGATCTCCGAATCTTAGAAGCGGCTTCTTCTTTGCTTTTGCTGTAAAACAGTGTTTATGCTGCAATTATGAGGAGTTTCAGGCCCTTGATTCTGGTGTGCCGAACGAACGTCGTGGTCGCTCGCCTCCTTCTGGCCGGTAATGTAAGGGATCGCCGTGTGACATTCAATTTTATGCCGGATTCACCAATATTCCCCATTCTCAAGCTAGTTGCGGGAAAATAAGCAGTACATCAGCTCACTGCAGGTTGAAATAATAGCTTTCTATTTCCGGACTAGCGAAGTATTAAGAAGAATTGGAAGATTCGTTGAGTTATCCTAGAAGGTGCTGTTGAGCATGTGATCAGAAGGTTTTTGAACAAATTATGCTTTACACTGAGAGGAAACAATTCTTAATACTCGTTGTGTGACATTATCTGCAAGTTTCAATTAGCCGTTGTGTTCTCGAACTATGATTTTGACGATTTTGGTAGTTTTGCTGGTCCTCCGAGATCTGATCAAAAAGCGTCAAGACCTTGAAACTAGTCGTATCCAAGGTACCTAATGATATCGCAAATCTGCTGTGCGTTTCCCGTAGCATCAAATCTCCATAGCTTTTTTTTTNTTTTTTTTTTTGGTAATGGCGTTATCGAAAACTCTTGTGTGGAATCGGTGCAAAAGTTCAGGGTGGGCAAGTTTTCGTCGACCAACTAAAGTATAATTGCATTTTGCAAAGTTATTGGTTCAGAAAAGTAAATAACACTATGATGCACCATCAATTTTATCCTAAAGGGTAGCGATTTTCAGTCTTTGATCCATCAAGTGTGGGAATGGTAAGAGCTTCGTCGCAGAGTTTTCTGTTCAGAAATTAACTTGCAGTTAAAGTTGCCTGATGGGTTACTACAGCAAGATCAATAGAATTTCTTGGTTTCCTTGAATCACGCTGTTAGCTGTTATTGCCACGAGAAAGAAAAACACTGTTCTTCAACAGTTCCATGTGTAATTACCAGTTTTAGTTGGTTTTATAGTAATTCTTCACATCCGTCATTTCCTTATCTTAGGATTTTAGGCTTTCTTTTCGAGTTAATTCTATTTGTGTCCTCATCATGTTCGGGTAATGTTTCCGATTGTTTATTTGCATAGATTTCTACCAATTTTATATACTTTGCCCAGTACTAAGTACTTTTGGGTAGAACTTGTTCTTCATTGCTTTGTTCCTTTAATAATACTTAACAGGCTATTGTTTTATTAGCGAATTAAAGTTTGTTGGAGGATAATGGATCCTGATGATGGAAGCTTTTGTCTGCCAAGAACAAAGCGCTCAATCAAAATGTTTCGGATATGTGCTAGAGAGATCATGTGCGATATATACTAGAAGTTGTTTTATTTTCTGCCGGTTTCTAGCCATCTTTATCGGTAGCACTTGTATGAGTGTTAGAACTATATCGTTCGATGTCTTACGTTGTTTTTCTTGTTGACATTACATGAATATTTTATGGAAATTTCCTGTTTTTTTTAGCAACATGTATTTCTCCAACTACCTAACATTGAGTGTTCAGTTTATTCGGAATTCATGGTGAATCCTTCGAAGTTTTTTTATAGATGAGACCTTTTCTGTCACTGCTGCGGTCGCCCCAGATTGTGCCATGTTGTACATCAATGCGAGCTTGTTCTTCAATGACTCAGGTTTGATAGTTGTTTTTATCATGATCTCTTACGTTCGCAACGCTTGATTTTAGTTGACATCGATTCGAATTTAAGATTTTTTGAAGTCTTTTTAACTGGCTACGGAATTCTCTCCCTCTTCTATACCCTTTACTGGAATACCGTTTGAAATAGGTTAGCTCATAAGCGGTCAGTATACAAGTCACATCTCGTGTTCCCTATTAGGTGTTTTATGTTTCTTTCCAACCGGCTAATCAGTTGTTGCTGTTCTCATGAACGTGACATCTAAGAGTTCTGGGCGATTCCGACCCTTAGCAAAATGTTTTGAATGTCATGAATGCGTGCAGCCTAGTAAAGATGGAAGAGAAAAGATTCCTTTTCTTTCGTGCTCGCGTAACCAAGGAGCGAGCCGCTTTAACATAAACCCTCAAAAACAAAGCGTTTGCTATTCTTTCCAATCTTTTTCCATGTTGGTAAATGAAGCTGTGAGCGGCCTCAGAAGAGGGTTGTTCTTTATAACTTATACGTATTACTATAACAGCCGAAGTGGATGGGATTCTCCATCACGGGAATTAGAATTATTATTTGCAGATGAAACCAAAATTGGCTGCTCCTGATAAGGAAACCTTGAAAAAAGCAACGGTAAGACCGTCGGTATTAAGGTTAGTCTAGGGCTATGATAAATATGAACTGTTTTGTCTATCATTCAATTCAGTGATTATATATCAGAAGATCTTCACGTTGAGGACAAGTTCAAGTTGGAATCTCTCGTAACTGTGCCAGATATGTTCAACGCCCGTCTCCATCTAGGACACAAGGTATTACAAGATGTGGCTTTTTTATTGTCTTTCGTAGTGGTCGATTACAGATAGGGACGTTGAACAATAATATGAAATGGGCATTATACGGTGAACGATTGGGTGTTTGCATTTTCGATCTAGATATTACTCGAACTCATCTTATCAGGTAGATTTTCCTTACTCTCAGCTTTCTTACCCTGATGTATTTTTACTCGGTTCATGCCAGGAGATAGAGGTTGTTGTTTCACGAGTTAACTTTTTCATTTCGTTCCACGATTTTTTTGCGTTCATCTTTTTGATACCGTTCAGTTGTTAGTCGAACGAGCCATTTCAGAGCGTTAGATTTCATAGCGCACGTTGTGATGCGTGGCGGAATGATCCTTTTCATATCCACAAATCGCGACACAATGTTCTCCGTAGAGAAGACAGCAGAAGAAGTGGGTTTCCGTTTTTTTTATGTGCTGAGTTATCATATACTTCTTAATTGTATCATTTATGAGGAGTTTTATTACATTCATCTGTTGTCTATTAAACTAAACATGTATCTTTTAACTCTCATTCTATTTATTTTCCTCATTTAACTACATCTATGAAATGGTTTTGTAGTGTGGACAATATTCTCATGTACGTCGCTGGCAAGAAGGAACGTTGACGAACACGCGTCAGCTTTTTGGAGCAAGCATTCGCCTTCCAGATGCAATTGTTTTCATGAATACTCTCACCTCAGTTTCCGTTAATCACCCTGCAATAATAGGCAATTTTTAAGATGATTTTCAAGCCCTTTCAAGTATTTGAAATCACAATTTATTCATGGGTTCAGAAGCTGCTAAGATGACTATTCCCACAGTTGGCGTAGTGGACAGTAATTCCGATCCAGCATACCTCACATATCTGGTTCCAGCAAATGATGATAGCCCACAGAGCGTAGAGTATTTGTTAAGGTAGGTGGCTTGAAATTTGTATAAATATTCGTTCGTTGGGGTTTTATTCCTGGCGTAGCCATACCTTTTGTAACGTAATTTTTTCAGATTGTTCAGAGAAGCTATCGTGCGGGGACAGGAAGCACGAAGGCAACAGTCAGCTGACTAGATTTATATAGTTGCTGTATATTACTGTTTAGTTACCTGTTTTTGAATTTTGTTATGTTGTATTTGTTACGACCCAATGAATATGGACAATTTCATGTACTTATTTTGCACTCGAAGGCTCGTGTCTTTTGTCACATATTTACTTCAGCATTCTTCTGTTTGTTGCTTATGTTCAATAGTTAGGTTTGGGCTATTTAATCAAGTTCAGGGATATGCATGTAGGCATTGCGCCGCATTTTCTCGAGCAGCCACTAGCTCGACATAATGACGATGGCTCTATTGAGCTGGAGTGTTCATTCACTGCTTCTCCGCTGCCTGAAATACAATGGTTTTACGGGAACAAGGAACTTAAGGAGGACGCTCGTTTCCAAATCAAGCTGGTCTTCAAAGGGAATGAAGCGTACTCAGTTATTCTTAGAATCGAAGATGTTGCTGACAGTGATGCTGGAAGTTATCGTTGTGCCTTGGCCAATCCTTACGGGAAAGGAAGTGCCACTTTCAATTTGAAGCTCACCGGATTTTCATCACCGACTTTCGTGCAGAAGCCTCGAATATCGACTCGAGATGATGGTCAGGTTATAGTTATGGAGTTTAGAACAAGGTCTATTCTGGAACCTTCGTTTTCATGGCAGAAGGGTGATGAAGTCATGGTACGGTCCGACCGTGTAGATATTATATCGAGGAAAGAAGCTAATCATGTGTACTATGCGGCTTTGAAAATCAAGGATCCCATAAAAGAAAATGATTCCGGTCAGTTTGTATGCACGGTGACGAATTCTTCTGGAAAGCTCACTGCTGCATTCACTGTAGAATTCGCAGTTCCTTCAGGAGCGCCGACTTTCACCAGGAAGCCTCGAATTATCCAAGTTACATCAGATTCTGGCGATCCAGCTATTGTGTTTGATGTTGCATATCAAGGCGATGATAACCCGGAGGTAGTGTGGATCAACCCGAAAGGGAAAAGAATGAAAGAGTCGTCCAGGACTCACATCATCACTACACCTGATGACCGTGAAAACACTTTCACCGCGAAACTTGAACTCAAGAAGTGCAAACCCAATGACTCTGGAGTCTACTTATGTAATATAAAGAATGGGGTAGGTGAAGCCAATGTGGAACTGACACTGGAAATTCAAAGGCCACCAATTGGTGGAGGTGGTGCTGAAAATGAGGCTATATTGATGATGAATAGGCTAGACTAAGCACTCTTGAAGTGCGCTGTTGTTGATTGCTTATGTTTGTATATAAACCACTTTCTGTTATATCGTTGTATTGGTAAAATATGAGCTTTACTGTTGACGAAGTCTTTGTTTACGGTTCTTGTTGTTTATAATATAATTGTACATTTGTATTTTTTAGTAATGCTGAGCCGCATACTGCCTTCGTTTATTCGATCATCTCCCATAAAAAGTGTGGCTAATCTTTCCGTTGCTGCTGGTGATGCTTCTACTCCCTCAGAAGAGAGTTCGCCTGTTACTACTACTCAGAGGCCGCTTCCATGGCTTTCGAAGAGCCCTTTTGTGGAAATTCCACAGGTATCTAGATTTTTTTGAGGGGAAAAAGGTATTGAAATAGCTTCGATTAAGGCTTGGGTGACCTCATTTGATGCAATCGAAGAGCGTAAATTGGATTTGATTGATCTTCATCCAGATATATTCCGAGTTCCTCCACGGTTAGACTTGCTGCACAGGTCGGTTAAAATATTCGTTTACTTTGTAGGGTGTACTTGTTGGGTTATAGTTTCTTGACAGTTATGGTCCCTTAAGGAATGTCAATTGGCAGCTAGTGTACCGTAATGTGCAGCTGACGAAGCAACTGAGCCGTGCGGAAATGCCTGGCGGAGGTTTGTTGGACTTTTGGTTGCCTTAAATTCTCTTGTGAGGAATTCTACTCTTAAGGTCACAAACCGTGGCCTCAAAAGAAAATGGGACGGGCTCAAGCTGGTTCAATACGTGCTCCCCCCTTCATTCGTGCCGGTTTTGCCAACGGTGTTCGTGGTCCGCGTACATGGTTTTATATTCTGCCTGACGCTGTAAGATTAAAAGGTTAGTTATGTCGCTTCATACTAACTTTTGCAACTAACTTGTTGTATGTTTAATTACTGTAAGTTAGTTAAAATGTTAAGCACGTAGTCGAGATGGCAACGAGCATGATAGTAGGAATCAATTTGGGAGTTTGGGTATTATGGGCTACATTTTTCAGCGCAATTTCCATCGTTTTGCTTCTCTAAAATTTCTTTTGTTTCCCATTTTCTTTTTCTATTTCCATTTGATTTCTAACTTCTATCTTTCTTTCTTGGTTGAGTACCTCGGTGTTTAAATACAAGGTTGTCAGTGGACTTGTAAACAACCTACCTGTGGGTGTCAATCTGCTTTTGTTGTCTTCAGAAAAAAGCACTTGAAGTAAATGGCATGATTTCAAGTTAATAATTGTGCTTGTATTAATTGCAAAGCTGTTCTTTGAAAATCGAACCGGGAGCAAGTAACATCAAATGGAAACTTAAGAGTGAAGCTAAGATAGGAAATACATTGGAGCTCCGATCAAACAAGCCCGATTTTCAATCCACAAGCATAATTTCCAAGTTTTCAATTCTTATCCTATATGGTTAAATGCCGACAGTACTTTCTGGTGATTGTATTTATTTTTGCAACACAGGATTTTCTTTACGAGCGTGAGCACATGTCTCCTTAGCTCGTTTTCAATGCCTTGATAACGGTCTTTTACTCGTTAGATCAAAGTTGATCTCTAACGACTCCAGCTTTAGTTTCCTATGGCCCCTAATAGAACGGTAGCAGTGTCATCAGAGAAGATCTCTTCTCTGTTTGTAAGGCTAGAGGGCAGTTTTGAGGGCTACAGTGCAGAGTTTTCTGCACAACTCATTGAATCGGGTTGGCTGTTATGAGCACATGCTGGGATATTTTGCAATATTTCTTTCTGCCATCCGAGAGTTGAGTTGCTACTTGTTGAAATACAGTTTTTTACGTCATTCAGCACGATTTTTAGATGGTGTAGTCCAAGCAGGTGATTTAGAGAAAACTGAATAAGGCGCAAAAAGTCTGAATGGAAACTGTCTATAAGAATACGCTCTTCTGCTTTTCCCTCATTTCTAGCACCTTGCATACGAAAACCAGTGTTTTGCTTCGTTTTTTTTCGTGGACTTGTCTTAGTCATTGCTTGTGTTAAACACTTCCAATTTTATTTTTTTTCTGTTTTACATGAGTTCAGTGTTTTGTTTTTGTTTGCTACTATAATAATAGCGCGCTTCGAAGACATACAATAATAAATGAGAAATTATGCTTCGACTCTACTACTATGTTACTGATTAGGACCATTTATCAGGACTCTGTGTTGCTCTCACCTTGAAACATGCGCAGGACGGTCTTCAGATTGTTGACAGACTCGATCAGCTGCCATCTGATGCTGACGCTCAGTTCCTACAAGATCTGGCGGACAGTCGGAACTGGGGATATTCTGTGTTATTTGTGAATGATACTGATGAGGTAAGAGTTTTCATTCGGTTCCACCTCTTTTCTGAGTGATTTTGTATTCTTAATTCGTGATTTGCTGGATAAATGTAGCTCGATTTAGTATTCGATGAATAACTTTGTTAAGCTTGTTACTTTTTTGTGTTGTTTACTCGCTGAAGTAGTGCTTGGTTAGTAAAGCATATACACTTTATAAGCTCAGCTGGAAAACCAAATTAATTGGAGAAATAGAAATAGTCCAAAAAAAATTGAGGGAAAAACATTAACTGTCATTTCTTGTTCATAAACTCTACTTTTCAGATAAGTGGCGGCTTGGTGACAGCCATCGAAGCGTTGCCTTCATTTAGAGCGATGCCTGTTTATGGGCTAAACTGCTTCTCTCTTTTGAAATATGATACTGTGGTGTTCTCCAGAAGTGCTATAGATCTCTTGGAGGAGCGATTGTTGAAACATCTTCATAGAGCTGGCACATTGAACAAAAAGTATAGGTGAGGTTTTCTTTTACAACGAATTCGAAAAATTTTCCGGGGATTGTACTTGCAATTCCTGTTTTAGCATACCTCTTCACTTTGTGCATTTATTTCGTAATAGTTTTGGTGGTGAGAATGATATGAAGACTATTTGTATCTTTCTTGTGAGATGAATCCTTTTTTTGGCGTCCATTCTCTTTAATCATGTTGTCAGCTAGGAGATTCTCATACCAGTTGAAACGGGTGCTCGATTATGATAACACATGAAGTTGTTTTTTCAGGTATATGGACTACAAAGAGAGGATATTGAATGAGGGTGAAAAAGAGGATGATCCAATTCAACCTCCGATAGTCTAGTAATTTATAGTTTATTAGCTCGTCTTATAGAAATAGATGTTAATAAATTTCATTATTTTCCATTACGTAAATTTTGTTCATTGTCTTGTAGTAGAATGTACCCACAGTAAATGCCGGATGCATCAATTTCTCATTATGATTTTCCCCAATGGTAAACAAAGGTTGCAAATTGGTAGTAGCGTAAAACTTCTGGGGATTGTTCATTTGGTATTTTTTGTCTTATTTTCCCGTGGAGTGGTGATTGGGAGGGCCTCTTTGGGGTCATCGCGTTCGTGCTTCCTATCTCATCTCTTGTCTGGGTCAGAAATTGAGTTGTTGATGCATCAAGGGTCACTTTACATATTGCTAATATTTGCATCTTGTAGTTTTGTTATTTCGTTGTTTCAAAAACGAATCACTGGCAGTGACTCGAGGAAGCTCTTCTGTTGTTGTTTTTAGTCTTTGTACACATTGCTCCACTTGATTAAGCTGGTTTTTGATTACCATCAAGCAGATGCCTTTAATAAAAAGATTACCATTATTTTCGCAGTTGTGATGGACCTTGGTTGAGTTCCATATACTCTTTGTTTATTTCACGCTTCATTCATTATTCAGAAGCAATCTGTTTCTCAAGAAGTGTATATTCAGGATTATGTCGTCATCGGAGGAGGCAAATAAACCGCCAATTCCATTGGCACAACGAATTTTAGCTCTACAAATGAAAAATAGGAAAAAACTACATATGTACGAGGCCAGTCGAACGTCGCAAAGTTAGTAATGTAAAGTTCGATTTTTGGAATTATAAGTTTTGACTCAAGCGCAGAAGTTTGGAAACTTGAAACTTTGAATCGCCAGTTTTTGAAATTTGAATTCCTGTTATGTGCACTGCTGATTCTGGTGCAGCATTTACAAATCGTTTGTTGATTACAATAATTTCAGCTAATGCAGCTTAGACTAGTAAATAGGCAAAGCTTTTCAAGATTATTGCTTGACTACAAAGATGCTTTTACGTGCCAGCAAGAGACCTGTTGTTTAGGCGAAGGAAATAAGGAAAACAGCCTTTTATCGACGTCAATCACCGCTCGTCAAAACAAAACTGCTCCTCCTGGTCATGCGTTCGATATGAGCAAGATCAATGACAGTTTAGCTGTTAGTTTCTATTCGTATCAATTTTACACTAATTTTGGCAATATTTAAGCTCCGGTGAGTTCCCCTGATTTTTTCTGGCAAGGTCATGGTCGCTACCGCCCCTTTTCGCTTAATTTTATGATTCTATTCGATTCTTTCTATTCTATTCTAATCTATGTTCATATGGTTATGAGCAACTTTTCCAGCTCAATACTTTCTGGGCGGCCTTATACCAGTTAAGAATTGTAGAAGTTATTTGGTTGTATCCATATGACAAACGAAAGTAGATGCACTCTAAACCGTGTTGCTATAATGCTATGCGATTGTCCAAAAAACGCAATCACTTGTGACGTGGGATGCCAAAAACGTGGTATGCATTATTTTCTTTAAGATGTGTACTTTTCATTCGGTAGAGGGTGCAAAAATAGTTGAGATTGCGCAGTGTTGGCCCCTTGGCAGTGTTTGATGAAAATTTAGTCGTGTAGAAAAGCCATCTGTAGCTTCTGCGTTTTTGCTTTATTTTATGGTAGTCTCAAATGTCGCTCTGTAAACTCCTAATCGTTCACTTATAAATACTTTTCAGAGCGCTCCTCACAACAAAAGTAGTAACATACCAGCAGAAAGGAATGTTATTTATACTCCTTTGCAAGATAGAAGGCGACCGCCTACACCGACCTCGATGCAAAAACAGCTGTCGGCTATTGAAGAACGGCACATAGAAAAGGAGCATAGGTATATTCTAATGCTGATTGGCTTTAGGGACTGTCACAACTAAGAAGGCCACATCATCAGCTGCGGTTTTTTTTTTCGCGCACTGCTTCACATGTTCAAAGTATATGAAGTCATACTTACAGTGGGAATCGTTCACGACCACTGGAACCTGAAAATAGGCTTGCTATGGATGCACCGATAAAGTCCAGGAGCAAAAGTGTCGGCTCGAAGGAGGTATGTCAAGTTGTTTTTGATAAATCTGAAACATCTTCCGGAAGAAATGAATCAGTCAATCTATGCTTTTCACCTTTTACCTGAAGAAAAATCTTGTCATGGTGCAGTGTTCGATTAAGGCACACCGTGATGCCATCCCGCACTCGTCCACTGGTCTACGTCCATCTGCTTCGACATCGTCTTTACAAAACAAGTACATGGTCATAAACGGCCATAGCTATATATGGTTAAGTTTACTCGGCAAAGGAGGCAGCAGTCGTGTGAGTAAAAATTTAAAAAATTTTCCCCTTACAGTCTTTATAAACTTAGGTCTGTTATTGTTACTAAATAATTCTTTCTTTTTTGTTTGTTGGCTTTATTTGTATACAACCCCCGCGGCAGGTAACTGCGGGGGTTGTATACAAATAAAGCCACCAAAAAGCAGCAGGTTTTTCAGGTTTATGAGGTGTTTGACGAAGCGCGATGTGAAGTGTGTGCATTGAAGGTAGTTGACTTAGGTGAGCTTTATTTTGCCACTTTACGATAACTTACTGAGATTGCGAAGAAATATTCTGTAATAAATGCTTAGTGGTCACAACTTTCAATTACTGTTTTATTTATTTATTTATTTATTTATTTATTTATTTATTTATTTATTTACTCAGGAGACGATAATGCAGCACGTCAGTGTTATTTGAATGAAATAGAGCTGTTGAAGAGTCTCCAAGGCAGTCCATACGTCATCAAAATGCTCGAATAGTAAGGCTACAATTTTTTCCCACATCAACTCGATCTTTTAAAAATCTTTTTAGCGAACTACGTGAAGAGGAAAATACCTTGTATGTTGTCATGGAAAAAGGTGACATAGATCTTGCAACATTCCTGAAAACCCGGCGCACGGAGATCGATTCTTCTTTTATCAGATATCACTGGAAAGAAATGCTTCGCTGCGTGAAAGTCATACATGACAGAAGTACGGTTTCATTTTTACTAACCTATAGATTTTTGAAGGATACCGTTTTTCTTTCCAGAAATAGTCCATTCGGATCTGAAACCCGCAAATTTCCTGCTCGTGAAAGGGACTGTAAAGTTGATTGATTTTGGAATCGCTGCAGGAATACCGAATGATATGGTAGTAACCCTTCTCCCTAATTAAACAATTTGAGAAAAAATCAATGTCTTTTAAATTAACATTTTGTAAAAGATTACTCCATTTTTTTTCTATTTAGACTGGCGCGATAAAAGAGAGCCAGATGGGTACTTTGAGCTACATGGCACCTGAAGTTTTACAGGGAGCAGGGGGCGATGGAAAATTTAAGGTATCATGCCAAATTCTATTGTCTACAAGTTTCTTACTCGATATTTTTTCATTACAAAAGGGGACCTTGATTCTGGACCTACAGCTAGCCGCTCACCAATTACGACATTTCCGATGTAAAGAGCTTGCCCTATGCAATTCCAAAGTGAATTTTTGTCTTATCGACAGAGCCTGGAAAAACTCTCCTCACTCCTTTTTTGACGCCACACAGTGACTTTATATTGATGCTACTGACTTCTTCACAATTCTAACACGCATCACAATTCGTTAGAGGACAAACTACGGTTGTCAAGTACATGTGCTGCATTGGTTCAGAGCAAAAGTTTTCTTTAAGATTCCGCTAAAGGCAGACGTCTGGTCGTTAGGATGCATATTGTACAACCTGGTTTACGGTCGCCTTCCTTTCAATATGAAAAGTCAGGGTGCAAAGGTAACGTGTTGTGCACTGCAACAGTTTTTTATCTTTTTATTTCGCTTATTACTAATTTCTTTACACTAGATGGCTGCTATATGTAATCCGGACTACGTGATAGAATTCCCTGACTGCGGTGATTCCTTGTTGGTTGATGTTTTGAAGGTACGTTTTTTTTATAGGTTGGACAGCTCACTGTAAATAAAAAAATTGATTCTTACTCTTTCCAGCGGTGTCTTGTTCGAGAGGTTCATCAAAGAGCTGATGTCAACGAACTGTTGGAACACCGTTATTTGAGTGAGTTGCCGTTTGTTTTCGTTTGTTCTCTATTTTTTCTTTATTTATACGTCATTATAGAAAAATGCTCCCATACTCTAGAGCAAATTCAGATAAGGACCGAGAATACTCTTTGGAATAGTTCGATCCCGATTCTGAGATGCGACCCCGCACTCGCCTTTCACTCAGAATCGTAGTTGCGTTTTGAAGGTATATATGGGCTGTACAATGACTCGTGGTGGCTTGATGGGGTACACGTCAGTGTCCATAACCTAACCTATCCTCCAATACAGGTCCATAACCACTTAATCGACTCTGGAGGGATGGCTTAAGCAAGAGCTGGTCCTGGATTCGATCCTCAGACCATGC